CAGTGGAAGTGAGCAGGAAGGTGTGTGGATAGGGTGGAGGTGAGAGCATGTGCCATGACAGGAGTGGCAGGGAGAGGAGAACTGAGCTGCAGCAGGTCTGTTTTGAACGGGCACAACTCAGTTCAGTCTAACAGCGAGGCCTCTGCCTTGTGCAGCGCCCACCATGCTGGTGCTTTTCAGCTCCATTGACCTCTTGGGCCATCTAGGAAAAGATCGAGTGAACCTAGAAATCCAGCTGCCCTGTTCCAAGGTAACCCTCCCAGTCGGGCTTGGATCGCACAGGCTGGGCAGCGTGGCAGGAGTTTGTGTTGCCACCAGCTAGGGCAGAGGTGGGCAATTGTTTGGGCTGGAGGGACACTTAAGGAGTTTTGATGACCTGTTGTGGGCTGGGGAGGGTGGGGAGCAATTGATCCTATCCGGCCCTGGTGTGCACCACCAGGGGACCAGGCGGAGCGGGTGGGCAGGCAGGGTCTCCATGCAGACTGGCCCAGGACCCCTGCGGGCAAGGCGCACTCAGCCAAGTGGATGGGATGGGGCTCTGGGCAGGCGGGAAGCGGCATCCGGGAGTGGGCCAGGATCATGGAGCTGTGACAGCGCAGGGCTGGTCCCTGAGACAGAGCCACAATTAGCTCCCTGCACATCCCTGTGGCGGACACCAGTTCCAGGTCCCAGGCTGATCTCTATGGAGACCTTGCCCATCCTCTCCATCCTACATCCCCAGCAGTTGATGCAGGATGGACGGCTTGGGGTGCCTAGGCAATGAAGCTGGGTCCAGTGGTGGTGGCAGAGATCTTGGCGGTGGCAGCCAGGAGTGAGCCATCACCACGGGGGGCTGCCAGGAAGCCAAGTCTGGCTGCCTTGCCCTGTGCCCAGCGGTAGCAAGACCAACCGCACATGCCATGGCCCAGACTGCTCCCCACACCTGGGCCAGGTGGGGCCGAGGAACCTGCCACGGGCCAGATACAGCCCCTTGGTGGGCCGGATCTAGCCCACGGGCCCTATTCTGCCTACCTCTGAGCTAGAGTGTATACTCTGAGAAGAAGGGGTATATTTCCTCCACATTCATAGGGTTGCATCTAAAATTTGGCAGTAAGGAGTCTTCCGGGCCAGACGGTCTCTGCTCTGTAACATGCCTGATGGAGTTTGGAGCATGTTATAAACTGCAATTTTCATCTTTTTATGCTATGCTGTAATTTCAGACACTTTAGTGTCACACTGGCAGGTCCAGGTATAACATTAGGTTGAATGTACATTTACTTTGTGAAGCAAAGTGAAGCTATGAAATGCTGGAACTGAGGCTGAATTTGGGGGGGAGCTGTTGGCACAGGGAGGGAATCTGTTTTGAGTTACCTCCAGACTCTCATATTAACCCTTTGATCTTACCCTATCCTGTTTTGCACTGGTTGCCCCCCAAAATCAGTTGGGAACCTGGGTATGTTGCCTCTTTGTAAAGGGTGGGCCCAACTCCTGCCGCTCCTAGAAGACCCTAAATGTTGGCAAGAGTAGGGGTATGGTGGAGGGGGGGCAGGCAAGTTTAATGCTGGCACTTCATAGCCATTGAGGGGTTCCTGTTCTTCTGATGTAGCTCGTATTTCCTTACGCTTGAATGAGAGGGAGGAAAGCACCCTGGAAACTCCCCCTGAGGTGCTTGTTGATACCCACGGGGTTGTTCTCGGGGCAAAACCGTTGTGTCGGCCGTGCAGGCCATAGTAGCCGGCAGCAGTCAGTCCCCTTCTCTGCGGAGCAGTGGGGAGAGGTCTGCAAGACATGTTTCGGCGATAGCAATGGGAAGGGGAGACTGGGATCATGGGTGGCTTACTCTTCCCCATCCCATTGCCTTCATTTAGTGGGTGCTGGACTCCCCACACCTGGCCTCTTGTCCAAGTCTTTTTGCCCAGCATTTCTAGTCTCACCCATCCTGGCGTCTTGGCCCAGTCTGTCCCTGCATCTCTGCCAGTCTCCTTGCCCAGCTGATCCATTCCCTTCCCTCCCCATAGCTCTACCAAGCCATCTCACCCTCTCTTGCCTTCATTTGTCCCCCCTCCTAGGGCTCCTGGCCTCGATCTTTGTCCCACCCATTGCAGTTTCCACCTGGGAAACCACTTGCTTGTCT